CCCAGACAATTTTCTCTTGTTGATGTTTCTTTGACACCACCAAAAAAGCATAGTAAAAGAACAAGGCACGAGCCACCCGTCCACTTCCAGGAGTGCAGCCCAAGAGGCGAAAGATGGAGCGTTCGGCGAAGCCGCACGCCCAGTGAATTCAGCGCCGGAAACCGAAGACGGGTGTGGCTCAAAATGAAAGCTAGGGTTTCACAGGGCTCCTTAACAGATTCATGTTGCAACCATTTGAAATATGGCTTTTTCCGCCAAAATAAAAGGAAACCACCATTTACAAGGCAATGTTCAGGTGTATATTGTAAGGGTCCCTGTTTCACCGGTTTACCTCCATTTGCTTAAGATTGTTTTGTGTTTCCCTTGTTGGGTTTAAAAGGATTTCATCACTACTGGACATATGTTTTTTTCCTGGGGCCGTAACCACATGGAAGTTTATGGTCTTCGGTTCCACTTGCCAAGGCATACCAAGGCGCCATCTTTGGTACATGTTTTGAGCCACAGCAATTTTGCCCCCTTTGGCTTGACCGGTTCGATTGCCACATAATGAGAAATGCAATGGTTTCCCGGGAAAAACATCCCCAATTCGGTTTTCCTCTAATGCGAAATCTCTAGGTTCAGGAATGACCCCGAGAAAAACAAAAACATCCATCCGATTTGGTTTTCTTTATTCTGGAATCCCAAAACCGTTCATTCCCAACACCCGAACTCGGTCATTCCCAACTGAGCACCAGCAAGTTGGGGCCATTGTAGACGGTTCTACTGTTTTTTCTTGTCATGGTTGTAGGCCTGTAAACTTGGTGGCTCCCAGCCATCTCCTCAGGTTTTTGGACTTTTAGTTGGTCTAGTCGTGGTTTTTTACCCACAAGTCAAACTTTTCAGCATGGGATGTGGGGACGAAACCAAACGTCAATGGGCTGAACCGCCGCTGCTCAATACATCGGCTTAGGCGGATGTTGAGATTGGACAGAAAGGGGACATTCACGCCACACCGTGAGGGACGCCTCCGTGCAGGGCGTTTCCGGCAACTGGCTTGGTCGCTCGTACCTTTGAGAGGCAGCGGGTTTTTTCCTGAGAAATGAATCCGCCCATGTGCTCTGATCGTCCATGTGCTGAGCTAAATATTGTGTGAATGTCCCCTGGTTTTAAAGGGCATCGAATTCGCTACTGGAAATAGTTTTCTTTCTTTTTTTTTCAGGGGACTTAAGCAAATGAAGGTTACAGGAACATGTGTTTAGTTAAACCACCTGGAGTCTCCGTGACCGCTTAAACATGGAGTCATGTCCCCTTTTGGATACTGACCCCTGTGTTTTGCATGGAGACTCCAGGCAGCCGTCTGGTGTGCTTCTCATGTGCAGAGGTCTTCAGCAGAAGCATTCCTCAGCCCGACTCAGGCCGACATGCCAGGCCTGGAGTCCGAGAGTGGGAGTCCTGCGTCCCGCTTTTTCAGAGGTCCCCTACGAGCCTCGTATGTTGGCTATGAATTGTAACAGTCAGCTTCCACTTGCTGAATGGGTGTGGGTCAATAATTAAACCACTAGTGGACCGCAGGCTTTAGTCCATGTTTCCATTTACCAAGGTTCATTTTGGGTACCTATTGTTGACCCACACGCAAATAAGTATTGTTTATCGTCCCCTGGTTTTAAAGGGAATCAATTCACTACTGGAAATATCCTTATTTTTATGAGGGGACTCAAGCAAATGGAGGTCAGTGGTTGCAATAAACCATGACTCCCCACCATGACGTAAGGGCGCCTTTTTCGATCCCACTCCCAGTTCCTTCCAGTGTTTGGGGCTTCCAGTTTTTTGTTTTCCCTATACTTGCAAAACGGGGTACCTCCCTGAGTCTCTGGAGCTTCCCATTCCAGAGGCCGAAGATACCCACTGGACAAAACAAGTTGCGGCGCAGTCGCCAGTCGCCAGTGAGCATTCGAAGCCTGCCATGAAAGGCTCCCGGAAACCTTGGATCAGAGCCCTTCTTCGGACGGCAGGCTTGTTTCTGCAACTTTCCCCTGTTCAACTTGGGGTCCAGGGTGGGGGGGTGCCATTAAAATCAGGCCCCCCTGGCCGATCCCTTTCTGCATCTCTCCCCTTGGGCCCAGCTGGGGGGTTGACCGAACCAGGCCTCTCAGAAACGAAGCCGAGCAATCCTGCCCAAGCCTCAGACGTCGATAGTCCGAAATGATTTGGTTTGTCTCAACGCGAACCCCGGCATGGAGCTCATTGAACCCTATCGGAATCAGCATATATATACAACAAGAACAACTAGTTATGTATATATCAGCACACACACACAGCTGAACCCCCAAAGGGCCGATTCTTTTTGTCTGCCTTTGTATCCCTTTTCATGCGTCAAGGGCAGAAACTGGCGATTCCTTGGAGGTCCAGATATGTGTCTATAGAGTATATTGTTGGTTCTTGGGAAGGGACAGGAAATCAGAAGGTCCGGTCCAATGCTAGCCCAAGTCAACTGACACGGACCGCAATGGTGTGTCTTTCCGCCTGCCCTGGTTTCCCTTCATACCGACCCGAACAGGGATATCTCTCAAAGAAAACGAGCCACGTAGGTCTCAGTGTGGTTAAGAGTGTGCTGCTCGGGGTGTCCCAAGGAGAGAGACACAGAGAAAGAGAGAGTGGGACAGATGGATGGCGGGGCGAGATGACGCTCAAAGGTATCGTTTGCAAAGGTCAATGGGCATGTTAAGATGAAGGAATCGGGCTGTCCCCAATGCTGCCAATGCCAGATATGCTGTGATATACTGCATTGTCGGCCTTGGAGTAGGAATCACATCAAAGGTATATAACAATGCTCCTTCAACGACTCATGTTGGCCTTTGAGTATTTAGTAGATGTTCAGTCTCCAGGGATGTAGTGATCTGTATGTCGGTTTTTCCTTTTTACTTTTCAAAGGCTACCTTTGTATTTCAACGTCCGTTGGTCATGTGAGGCATCCTCACGAAGCCCAGTCAACCGCTAGCTGGACCCCCACAAGGCCGATTCCTGTTTTTTTGCCTTGATGCCCCTTGTGTGTTTGGGCAAATGCAGAAAAAGGTGGGGGTTTTCTGGGTGTGGGTAGCAGGCAAAACGAGTCAGGTTCGCGGAGCACGGCGGGTGGGGGGCGTGGGCCAGCTCAAGCCCAGGCTACTACTGCCGCTCATTTTTCTGGGCGCCGGGGGCTCCGGTTTCCCTTCTGGGGGCATTTCTGTTGTTTGAGGTGCTGGGTTTGTTTCCCTCAAACCACTACCCTCAAGGGAAACACCATCAAACCACCCCCAAGGGAAATCCCTATTTGGGGCGTTTTTGTTGTCTGAGATGGTGGAATTCAACATGTATACCTTTTACATAGTGTGGTTCTATTATATAGTGGTTGTATACTCCAGATTTCCCTGCAGGCTATTGGTTCGGAGGTGATGGAACTATCTTAGAGGTTGGGTGGGATTCCTGAAGTCTAACTAAGGGAGGTGCGTTTGTCTTTTGAGGGTACGTACCTTTTTGGGGTTTGTTTTAACGGGAAACAAAGGAACACCACCAATTTGGGGGTGCCGTTTCCTGTTTTGAGACAAGGTCTGGGGTCTCTCCTTTGTGAGGGTGCGACCGGTGTCGTGTCTTTCGTGTTCGGCACGTTTTCGGTGCCAAAAGAGTTGGACCTAGCAGATCAGCTTGTGGAAACCGGCCAAAAGCCCTAGGCGCCTTTGGGCGCCTTTGGGCTCATTGGATTGGGGGCTTATCCCTTTAGACTTTGGGCATAGGATGGGCAAAGCTGAATTTAGGCATGCGCAGATCGCCCACCTTGCTGCATGTTTAAAGAGAAGCCAAGAAGCCACCCATGTTGGAGTAAGACTTTTAGTTGGTGTTGTCCATGTTTTAATTTGAAATTGAGAACCCTTGGTGGCAATCCGGGCCGGCTACTAAACTGACTGTATGCCAACAAAATGGAGGAATCACTTGTTTTGAGTCATGCCCACATGCAAACGGCGTTGCAGCTGCGTAGGAAAGGGTTGTCTTCCAATTTTTCACTTACACACATGTGCATGGATATGTTGATTGTTTATCCGTGCAGAGTTTGCTCTGAGAATTACCAATTTTACAAGATACCTGGAGTCTCCTTCTGACCCTTTCAACATTTCAGCATGGTTGGTCGCCCCTTTCTTTTGGGTGATGACCAACCATGTTTCTTTTGAGTCAGAAGGAGACAGGTACGGTGAACCCGCCCCCTCTGTGGAGCTTGGCTCTCGTGGACTCACCCCACGTGACTCGAGTCGATTCTCGAAAACCGCAAGGCCTGGCACTGCTGGAAGGCTCCGAGCCGATGTCGGGGGTCCGGGTTCTTCACCCGCATGATTCTGGGTTGAGCGGTTGGAATCAGACCACTCTTGGAGGGGCCAAACATCCACCCCTAAATTTAATAAGCTGGTTGGTTGATTAATATGGGGTCAACAGACCCCACATGAATTGAATCAACCAACCAGTGTATTAAACTTGGGGGCGGGGGAGGGGGGGGCGGGGGGGGGAGTTTTATCGTCTGCTTCCAACCACTCCACCCAGAATCGGACAGTTCCCCCCAATAGAAATAAACTGGTTGGGTGAGTAATGTGGGGTCAAATTTAAGCTGATGCACCCAAAGCCGATTTTGAGCCGCTCGATTCCTTCGTTGCCATCCATTTTTCGGTTCGTAACCCCTGACGACATGTGTTCTGTGAACCTGGATGGCACAACTTGACAGTTGTGATGCAGAATCTTTACCAGGGGTTCCCTTTGGGCGTGTCTTAAAATTGGGGATCCCTAAAATGACCGTGTGTTTGTCTAAAGTTTTCGTCTGAACCGATCCCGACTGGATTTACTGCAGGAAAGCTGTGATGATCTTTGGGTGTGTCGTAAAATTGGGGATCCCGAAACGACCGGGTGATTCTCTTGTTCTCGTGTGAAGGCTCCATTTCACTTGCTGGCTATCCCTTAGCTTTTTAGCCTTAATAGTGTTTAGAGGCGTTTTCCATTTCGCCCACTAAACGTTGCCAACTTTTCGCGGGGGAACTTCCATTTGCTCAAGCATGTTTTGGCCCTGTTGGTTTTAAAGGGAAAAAGTTTCACTGTTGGCAATACTTTTTTTCCAGGGGGCTTAAGCAAATGGAAGTTCAGCTTTGAGCGAATCTATGCTTTGCCCAGTGGATGGATTCCTGTTGCAGGTGAGCGGGAGGCCTGCTTCATCAGAGCCCACGCGGTCGGCAGGTGGGGGAGAGACTTGCGCGCTGGCCGGTCCCTTGCAAACAGTACCACTGTGCCCCTGAAAAAAGCAACACAAACACCTTTCCATCAGACCACAACTAGGTCCTCCAGTCGGGCCCTTTTACCCTTTTTTTGGGGAGGGTTCCCCTACTAGAATTAGCTACAAAAAGAGTACCCTGATTCTAACCTCTCGACTGGAGGACCTAGACAAGGAAACCACCATTCGATGTTGTTGGTGGAATAAAGCACACTGTGGTTTGAGCCAATGGAGCTAGATCGCGGGTCAAACACCCCGATTTGGCTTTGGAGAGGCACTCGGTCGCCCACCCAATTTCTCAGCACAGCCTTAACTTTGCTACTCCAAGCGCAACAGGCACCTCCAACCTTCACACCATGGCCAAGTGGGGTTAATTTGAAGGGTGTCCAACTTGTTCCCAACTACTTGGGTGTGTCTTGTTGAGAGGACCCCTTTTCAGGTTTCCTCCATTTCCCTTTATGGAGCCTCCAAAAGCGGCGATGGTTTTAGTGGAAGCCACCTGTAAATTCATAAACTTTTGATTTGGGGTAATCCACCTGGCCTAAAAAAAAACATTTTTTCCTGCCTTTGTGCCCCTTTTTTGTGGGTAGGCAGAAAAAAGGGGGGGCGTGAGCCGTGTGATTGGGGCCAGGGATCCGCGGAAGGCCACGGAAGACCACTTTTGGGGCCCAAAACCAGCCCCCACCATTTGCTTAAGAATATGTTGTCTTTTGCCTTGCTGGTTTTAAAGGGAATCTATCAGTACTGGAAAGTGTTTTTTCCCAGGGTGCTCAATGGAAGACCCCCATAGTAATGAACAGGGTCCTGTTGGGTTCAGCAGGCCACCATGAAAACCATGGTTGGGTTAATGGAACCACCATTCTTTGCCCTTCAGGAATTTCATCCAAATTGGGTCCCCTTGGGCCATTCTTTTAATGGGGGCGTTTGGAACCCCAGGGAGGGGTTGATGAATAGTTGGTCAGCATTCTTCCGACCGCAGGAGTGCAGAGCGAGCTCCCCAGACCTTCCCTCACGGCAGCCGCGAAAGAGGCGGCGCCGGCGCGTTGTTAGGAACACACACCGCGGGAGTTTTTGTTTTTTTTTTTGTCGGTTGGTGTTCAAGAGAAAGCAACAGAACAGCAACAGAGGAGACCCAGGAAACCCAAACCATGTTTTGGACCCCCTGATTTCTTGGAAAGTGGCAAGGACAGGGTTGGCATTGACAACTTTTGACGTGCTTGCGCCATTACGCTCGTGACGCGAGTGCGCGCGAAGGCGCCGAGCTTCAGCAAATGGGACGAAGTGGATGCGGCGGCGGCTGAAGCGGACGCAGTCGACGCAGTTGGCAGCCCAGAGATTGCATTCCCACAGAGTCAGAGGAGCGTCTCAATGCCCAGACAATCCATGTACCTGGAGTCTCCATGACCCTTAACAAATGGGGCCATTACCGAAAATTACGGGGTCATGACCCCATTTTTTAAGGGTCATGGAGACTCCAGCTAGGTAATATGTACCCACATGTACCCTGCAAATGGTTGCACATGGGTCAAATGGTGGTATATATTATTACCCACGTGGATTGTGTGGGATGTGTCACATCCAGAGATCTGTCAGAAACCATTTGCACATGAAATGGGAAGGCATCCCTCATGTATGACACGTCGGAGAGTCGATCGAATTAGTTGGACAGTCTTCAAACGATGGTTACCTACTTACCTGACGTTTGAGCATCCAAGTAGTGGAAAGTTGTCTTGAAGGCATGCAATCCAAGCTGGTCAACTGTGGCTCTGGGTTGTCTTGCTTTTATCCGGACCCCGTGGGTTGGGGTGGGTGGGTGGGTGGGTGGGTGGGTGGGTGGGTGGGTGGGTGTGGGTGGGTGGGTGGGTGGGTGGGTGGGTGGGTGGGTGGGTGGGGTGGGTGGGTGGGTGGGGTGGGTGGGTGGGTGGGTGGGTGGGTGGGGGTGTGGGTGGGTGGGTGGGTGGGTGGGTGGGTGGGTGGGGGTGGGTGTGGTGGGTGGGTGGGTGGGTGGGTGGGTGGGTGGGTGGGTGGGTGGGTGGGTGGGTGGGTGGGTGGGTGGGTGGGTGGGTGGGTGGGTGGGTGGGTGGGTGGGTGGGTGGGTGGGTGGGTGGGTGGGTGGGTGGGTGGGTGGGTGGGTGGGGTGGGTGGGTTGCCGACTTCACCCACTGACCCACCTAGGTTTCTTTCATAGCGATCCCCTGGAAGGAGCATGCTCTCAGATGCGTTTTCTGCGCCCCGAAAAATGCATCTAGAGAAGCTGAAGGCTCCGGGGGCGCAAGTGGTTGCAGTCTTGCTCCCTGAGTTACCCTCTTTCCAACAATCGTGGAAGTGGAGGGGGTGTTCCCCAAAACTCAGTTGTTCAGTGGCACCGATTCTTTTTTCTGTTTTTTGGTGACTGACCCGCGAAAAATGGTCCAAGCACCAAAAAGGGCTCCTTTTTTCCAGGGTCGCTGAACAACTGAGAAAAGGTCTGCAGTCTTCCAACCCCCTTCTGTCAGCTTCCGTGTTTTTTTGTTGCCAGGAATGGTGTGCATAGCTGAGTTGCAGGTGCTTCAGATGCGTATGGAGGATGCAGAGCCGGGATCTAAGTTTCCCGAGTCCAGGTCGAGGCGGTACAACCGGCAGAAGGGGTCAGAACCCTTGCCAGGTGCGGATATCCCCTCCGATTTCTTACATGACGTTGGGGTTGATCTCTCCAATTCCTCACTCCCTGAGTGTATTGGCAAAACAACATCTGAGCTTGTTATTCTTTGGTGCATTTTGCTTGGATGTTGGGACTTTAACTTTTTGCCAACTCTTGGGTTTTCCGTATTAAACCACTAAAAGTTAAACTTTCAGCAGGGGAGCAGATTTCGCAACCGAGTATTGACCACCAAACATGGTCTTCCCCGAAAGTTTGAGTCCAGGAACTCAGGGAGTGAGATGGTGTCCATTGCGACTCGCGACAGGGCGGTCAATTCGCCACCTCGCGCGTGAGGAAGCTGTCTTCCACGGCGCCTTCCCCCAAAACAAGGTCAAGGCCAACATGCAAAAGCGGGCTGGAGTCTCGATGACCATCGGAAAAAATGGGTGGTCATCGTCCAAGGTAAAGGGGTCTGGATCCCATTTTCGAAGGGTCACGCAGACTCCAGGTGGGTCCTACACGTTGATTTTTCTTCCAGACTCAGGGTTCTGGGTTGTGAAACGTTAAGCTCAGCCGAATCCGGAGGACCCACAAAACCTTCCCTAAAACAGCTCGTTTCACAGGGCTCCTTAAAAGATACATGTTGCCCATTTGAAACATGGCCTTTTCCACCAAAATAAAGGGAAACCACCATTTACAAGGCAATGTTCAGGTGTATAATGCATCCGGACCCCTGTTTCATCGCAAGGTGCAATCCTCCATCTTCCGAAGACATGATATCTTCGCCCGACTTGCGGTTTCCACATGTAACCCGGCAAAAGTAAACCTAGCCTACGGGTTCGATCGATGGAATTTCGGGAATTCCTCAGACTATTTGTCCTTGTTACACCCCGTTTCAGCAACTTGGGGTGGGGACCTGCAGAGTAGAGGTAGGGACGCCTTACCCGTCGCTGGAAACACTCGACTCTGCAAAGCTCTCTGAGGCCGGGCGCAGAAAACCAAGAGATGGTGGTCCTGGAGGCGATGCTGGACCTTTCGCTGCGTTTCTTTTTGCCTTTGTACCCCTTTTTTTCTGGGTAGGTAGAAAGAAATGCCTGGATCTTCCAAATCATGGAAATTTCACGTAACATCCGGAGACTACCTGTTTTTTGAGGGTCCCAGTGAAAAAAAACACAGAGTCTTCAAACTCCTGGTTTTTGAGGTAAAACTAGAATTTGATTGTCGCTTCTGGAAATGGTTTGCACACCTGAAACCCCTTCAAATCGCAATTGTTCGGTACTTGACGGAAGGACCCCTCCAATTCAGAAAATATAATCGTTCACCTGAATCAGAATCACTTATTCAGAATTCAGAATTCGGAATTATTGCCTTCAGGCGACAAATTGGCAAAACTGGAAAGCACCACACCTGACACTCAGCGCAAAACACCCGCAAAAAGCCCACAAACTCCCACAAAAACCCGCAAACTCCCACAAATCAAAAAAAAGACGGAGTTTCCGGAGAGTGCAGAGTAAAATCAGTGGAATACCCACTCAAGTGCGCAGAGTTGCATAATTGCTGGGATGGTATACAGAGTTGTACAATTGCAGCCCCCCCCCCAAAAAAAAGAGACAACAATAATTGTGTCCAATTGTTTCCCCCAAGAACCACTCCTAGTTTTTGATGTTCACTCTGCCTTTTGCAAGCCACTCCTGCTTTTTGATTCATGCATTTGAAGCACCTGAAACTCCTAGTTTTCAGAGGGTCTCCTGGAAATATCCCGGAGAACGGAAAAAACAGAAAAAGTATCCCGGAGACGGAGGACCTCCCTTGGGAGTCCAGGTTGTTAGCGGTTCTTCCCCAATGAAACCCACTGGAGGTCTACATCCTTGTCGTTGTCGTTTTGGTTGTTGTTTGTGGGCTTCAACATCAACTCAGCTTCAAGCAATCGTGCTTTTCACGGCGCATTGAAACGTGGGGTGCGGGGTTGGATGGGTGCTTCGGTGGAAATCGTTCTGAGTCACGTCGATTTCGGGAGATGCATACCAAGGGCCCATGAAACAAATGGTTGACCCGGTTTGGAGGATGACAATCCTTAGATAGCTGTATGAACCCAACCACGGTTTTCATGGTGGCAACTGAAGCCCAGGGACAAGGGATAAGGGCGCTTTTCCCATTTTGCGAACCCACGCGAGTCACCCACGGTCGTGGTTCTTCAGAGTGCCCAAAAGGCCAGGGGGGCGGGCCACACATTTTTTTCCGATAGGTGTGTTTTTTGTCGGAGGCCGCCCTTTTTGTGGGTGCATTTAAAGGGGACCCAAATGGAAGCAACAAAACGTGTTTTTTTGTTCTTTCTTCTTTTTTTTTGCGGGGGGTCTGAAAAAAACAAATACAGCACCCCGATAGCAGTTTTGGACAAAGAGCTGAACCGGTTTTGTCAACTCTCACGCCAGGATGTTGAAGCTGGTAGATTCCCGAGAGTTCACGATGACTTGGCGAACCAGACGAGGCATGGGAACGGGCGCCGTGGCGTGCCGGACGAGGATGGGGAATGCCAATGTGGGGACCCGAAATACCTTGGGTCACCCTTCGGGAAACCCACCAAACAAGATTTGACTTTTGCTTCGGAGAACTTAGCCATGGTCACTTCCATTTGCTTAAGAATATGTTTCTTCCTCCCTTGGGTTTAAAGGGAATCTATCACTACTGGAAACATGTTCTTTTTTTCCCAGGGGTCTTGAGCAAATGGAGGGTCACTTTGGGGCCGAACGGGAGATGTTTCTCAAAGTCGCATGGCCGTTGCTCCCAGTTTGGAACATTTTGACCAGGCTTCGAGGCTCCTGGCTTGCAATGGAAGACCCGACCCCTCCAGACACCCCGGGAATCGGTGTTTGGGGGTCTCAACACCTGGCTATTTGAGGGCCCTAGATTGATCGGGAGTGTCTGGGAAGGGTTTGAAGGCAACTGTGCGATGTGGTCGACCGAGCATGATCGAACAAACCTTTGACAGAATTTGGACCATGTCATCCACGAGCAAAGAGCTTGACTATTCGGGTAGCCTCGAGATGCATGGAGGGAGTCAAGTGATATAATAGGTGAAGGAATACTAACTAACATCCGTTGTTCTACCCTCCCCTCGGTCTAACATGGAAGCTTCCAAGACCGCTTTAGAAGATTTGGCTCCATTTGCAGGATCGGCCAATTGATGGAGCTTCCATGTTAGTCTGAGGGAGTGTGCAATGGTATTGGATTGATTTGACTTGGGCCCAGCCAGGTCCAGCGATGGTGCGTGGTCAGGGCTGCCAGTTCTGACCGCTGGGAGCTCAGGGCTTTGGGGATCTCAAGCCAGAAGCTTCCGTTTGTAGACTTGACTACTTTAACTTTTTGGTTGGTTGAAAGGTGTTTTCCACTAAACCCCCCAAAAGTTACAAACTTTTTGCAGGGGGCTCAACAGCAACCAAGTTGAACGAAAGCTGCTGTAGGTTTGGTTTGCCGATTCTGATGCATCCGCCGGCTTGCTTGCTTGCTTGCTTGCTTGCTTGCTTGCTTGCTTGCTTGCTTGCTTGCCTGCCCGTCGGCTTGCCTGCCTGCGCGGTTTCCTTGCAATGCGCGTGTCTCATTTTTCGGCCTTGATATGAGGGTAGCGTTTGAATAGGAAGTCATATTGTTTCCAAACATGGAACGTGGTAAGTCCACAGTTCTTGGAATTATATATATATATGCACATCTGTAGATACGTCGAGGTTTAGTATTTGATTTGTTTAATTGGGTCTACGTAGCCTGTAACTTGCAGATAAGTTTCCCCACGAAACCACCAGAGGATTCAGGGGATGGACATTTATTCCAGGCGGGGAGTCCCGGGGAGGACCCACTCTGGAACCATTCCAAAACACAGCCTCAGAAGCACATGAGTTGGCTCACCCTTGCTTTGAGAGTACCTTCTTGTGGGCTTAAAGGGAAGCCAAACAGAGGAAACAGAAACACCGTTCGGGGTCCCCGAAAGAAAGACGCACCCACACAACTCACCATTTCTATATGTCCTGCTTAGCGCATATAGGGTCCGCGGTTCACGTGTGTGTGTGTGTGCGCATGTGTGCATGTGTGTGCGCTTCATGGCTCTACTGCCAGCCAGTCTGTTTTGTGCCTGCTGCAAAGGTGTTGGCTAAAACGGTTCATCACGTCTTGGTTGCTTTATGGTTGAATCTTTAACCTTTAACCTGTCGGGAAAGCATATATGTTCCTATTCACCAACCAAAGGGCTAAACGTTTCGCACTTGGGGCAATAGCCACAAAAGCGTGGTCAAGCCTCCCATCCAGGATATCAGCTACTGTTGAGCCCTGGCCTTTGTATTTGCGTGTGTACTGCATTTTGTTTTGGAGAGGGGACACCTCTCAGGGTTTAGGGACACTCTTTAGATCTCTTTAGGGGAAACAACACTTTCTGGGGGTTCTCAAATGTTGAGTCCGTCCGGCGGATGCTAAGTTACTGTGTGTTTGGTTGTTTTTGCCTGTGTGTTTAGAGTACCTTTTTTGTTTGTTTAAGGGAACAAAACGGACAACCCGAAATCCATTGTGGGGTTCGCAATATTTTGACACACACACACACATTTTGTTTGGAACAAACACCGTCATCCCCAACCCAGACAGACCGCGGACGAACTTCGTGCGGACCTAGGCCTTTGCCTCACTCATGTTTGGCTACGCGGGCAAGATTGCATAGATCCGGCCAAGAACGCGCAGCGGAAGGTGCGCTGTCAGCTTTGTTGTTTTTTCTACCCTTGCTGCCATGGCGCTTCTCAGCAGATGAGCAAGCACAACATCCACCGCATCCGTTGTTTGTAGCAGGTTCTTTCTTTACAAGGTTGGGCACAGCCAGCGCAGCCAGAATGGAATCCTGCAAGCTGCATGGGAAAACCAAATGATGCGGGGAGGGAATCTCCACTGCGAAGCTTGAATTGAGTGCAAACTAATTCAGCTCATGCGCGCGACTTCTCTGGGCAATCCTTTCAAAGAGAGCGACGAACCCAATGTCCAGTTTTAGTTTCTAGTTTCCACTTTAGAATGCCAGCTGGCAACCAAAACGGCAGGTCTGTGTCCCCAATGGTCAAAGAACAACCAAGGGGGTTCAGCATGTGCGTGTGCATTTGTTGGGGGCACGCCCCTCAAATGTTGTTATTCCCTTTGATTTCCTTTTGAAACTTACAAAAAGGGGTACGTCCAACAGACACACCCCTGCATGTCCAGGTGCTTTGCGCAAGTAAAATTCAGGATTTCCAGAGAGGCTTGCCACACGTGAGAAAGAGCTGCGTCCGAACTCGATCGACATTCGAGTTGGGCTTGTCTTCAAAGGAGGGCATCTAACAAAATGATTGCTTTGCCTTTAATTAGTTTCCCTTCAAACCACTCCCAAAAGAGCACCGAGAATAATTTTGAAGGGGCAGGGGACTTTGTAGGTTGTTAGCCTTGGATACCCGGAACGTGAGTGGGCGGGCGGATGTGTGGGTTGGTTGGTCGGGTTGGTTGGTCGGGTTGGTTGTTCGGGTGGGTCGGGTGGTTTGTTGGTTGATTGCTGTCGTTCACATTGGTGTAGCAAGAAGCCCCTTGCCGATACTTAACTTGCCGAGTTTCTGTTTGTGTTCTGGTTGTTGGATTGTTTGCAGCGTGCGCGCGCGCGCGCTTCGTTGAGCGTTTGAGTGTCTCGCCGTGTGTCTTGTTGTGTCTTTGTGCGCGTGTTTGGAATGGTGCAAGAATTATTGCTACTGCTGTAGCTGCCCAACGTCGCATATCTAGTCTACACGGGACACGTTTGCACTCATGATCGAAATTCACCACCAAGAAGTGCAAGAGGTCAACGGCGGACCGCGCCATTGTGCCCAAAGCGAAGCCGCGTGACGCCGTGAGCGTGTGTTCTCAAATGCTGCACTCGCTTGTGACATGAGTCTTCCCGTTTGCAAAAGAAGAAATCAGACATTCGCTAGAGAATTGAGCAAAGCCATGGGACAGCCATCGCTAGGAATGGTGCACTGTGTTTGTCTCCACACTCTCAGGTTCCTTACCTTGCAAAGTTCAGAGGACAGCCAGGTCAACCTTTGGCGTGTTGCATCTTCACCCTTGGCTCAAATGATGCGCATAGAAAAGCCGAGGTTTGGGATTTAGCTTTGACCAAGACTTCACTTTTCCTGGCAAGTTGTTTGTTGTTTTTGGTTTGTAAGTTCTGTTTGTTTTAGTAGTTCTGCAAAAAGAGAAGGTTTTTGCAAGCCCCTGCCAAGGGTTGTGAAGAAGAACACTTGGCCAAAGCGTGCCTATTCCGAACAACTTTCTTTTCGTGCCGCTGAATGCGCTGAATGCGGGCGCTCACATTGCCATGGAGTTCAATTCGACGACAAGCTCCCCACTCATCCAGGCCTGAGTTCTTTCAATATGGGTGTGTGATTGTTGTGCAGGGGAACCAAACATGGTCGTTTCCCTTTTGGTCTAGGAAACAAACAATAAGCTCAGGTGATATCCCCAACAGAATGCGATGCTCTTTTTAGTACCACCCCGCAGCCCTCGCGGAACCCTCGTGGAACCCTGGTGGAACCCTCGTGGAACCCTCGTGGAACCTTGCCTCAGGGCCGCCCCGGACCACCCCGGAGCCTATCTGGGCTGAGACCCCAAAGCTTTCAGCTGTTGGAGAAAATAACGGAAAACGGGGGGTACCTTCAGGAAAAACAACTGCGAAGTCGTGATGGCAGCTTATGTCAGGCGAGTACGTCTATCAGCGGCGTGGAATTGCTGTTCGCGTCGAGTCAGGCACCAAGATTCCCAGCTTCAGAGAAGGTGCCTATGCTATGCCAGCCATGGCTCCATTTCTCATTTTAGAACCTCCAACTGCAGTGGCGATCGTTTCGAGCGAAACCCACCAGTCAATTGCAAACTTGTCGAAATCCAGCGATTGATGCTGGCCATGACCACGGCTGCGGGAAATGGAATCCACTTCTGTGACACAACAGAATTCCCAAAGACGTTCAATGCCCCATACAAAGGGCGAGATTCCAACTTGTAGCACTTCTGACAGAAGTGGTTGAAGACTCACCCCCAAGAAAAAAGGGGGAGGTTCCCAAAGTATCCACAGAGGGGTTTGGGATTCACCCCGAGTGATTACCGCGGGCCCCCGTGGCCGTGGCTTGAGGCGAGATCATCTCCAACTCTTCCAACACCACCTGGCTTTCAGCCTCGGAGGCGCGGCGGGGAGGAGGCCGTTGGAAGGGTTGGCCAGGCGAGGTGTGGCTGCCGACTTTTTAGAGCCGATTTTTTGAGAAGAAGCATGGGTTTGGGTGAGTTATAACGATCTCACGCGACCTCACCCTAAATGGTGGTTTATGTGGGGAATAGCCCCCCAACCACCTTATTTCCGGCTGGTGAAATATTGCAATTCAGGCGTCTCCTTGGACCCCCCGCAGATGGTAGTTACTCGAGTTTTGTAGGGATCTCTACTTGCTCCGACTCAGATTAGTGGAGAAGAATTTGGCCAGCTGTTCGGATGTCTTCTCCCGACTGACGTGTGAAGCGTACCCATTCCCCTCTTGGACAGATTCCTCGTGGAAAGGGGGGCCTGCGTATTTCCATTGGAAGCCTCTGGGTGTCTTTTTCCGTGAATCCTTTTTGGATGTGATTGTAAAGGGAAACCAAAAGACAAAGCAACACCATTTTGGTGTGTGGGGTTTCATATCCAAAAGTGGGCATCGATCGTTTCCATAGACACCGACCCGTAAGTTGATCAACTGATGGCGAATTCCAACTCCGGGCTTGGCTCCCGGCCATCTCGTTCCTTAGGTGGTTGGCCAGCCATCTGGTTCCTTTCGTGGCTGGGTTGCGCCAATTTCACCCCACAAGTTGCTATGGCACCTGACGGGCCGCTTGAGGAACTTGATCGTCCAGGCTTCCAGGTACCCTCCCCACAAATGCCTTCTGTTGGTGGGAGGCAGCCATCCAGTTTCGTAGGTATTTAGTTGTTGTCTTGTTGGTTTAATGGTTGGGTGTCCACTAGAACCCAAACTTGGTTTCCATTTGGCTGTGGGTCGGACATAGGTACCCAAAATGCCACCCTGGCAAATGAAACCAACTCACACCAGCGGTCCCCTGGTGGTTTAGTTTTGACCCATACCCATTTAGCCTTTAGTGGTTGGGTTTCCACTAAACCACTAAAAGTCAAACTTGGTTTCCACTTAGCTCACGAAAATGGGTTTCCACTAAACCTAAACTTGGTTTAGCCCACGGAAAGTGGTCGACTGGTAGCATGGGATCTGCGGTTGCAGCCCAGAGGTGGAGCATTTCCTGGGAGATCCGGATGTCCTGCACGCCATCGCCCTGATCCTCGGTCTGGACCCGAGGCTTGAGTCTTCCCTCAACCCCAAATGCGGGAGGAGGAGGAGGAGGTCAGTCCTTTCCTAGCTCCCCCAGCTAGGTTCCCTTTTTGGCCCCTTTTTTTTGGTTAGGAGGGTTCCCCTACTAACATAGACTACAGAAAGAAGGGTACCCTTCTTCTAATCTCTCTACTGGAGGACCTAGCTTAAGAAAGTTTTTCCCTGGTGCCTGTGTCCCTGGGAAGGGTACTTGGGTTGGAGAGTCGTACAGCAAAATGAATCACTCTGAGGGTATTCTGAGGACATACTGGCATACTGTTTGTATGACGGTGGGCGGCTTAAACGCTTGTAGTTGCCAATGTTGCTATAACAAGCTTCTTTTTGTGATGTGCGATGCGCCCGGTTAACGGTTTACGTACTTGTGATTGAATGTTTATCAGTTGTTTGGCAAGGCCGGTCCAGTTCGAGTGGGTTCATGTTGCTTCTTGCGCGTTCCCATGGAAGTACTTGTTGGGTGTCGAAATGCTTCCTGCCACTGGCGCCTTGATGTTCTCCACCGATGGCCGCTACTAGGAATTTCATACAAGCCGCGGTGTGAGTGTTGTCGGCTATGTGTGTTGATTGGGTTCCTAGACTGAGTACCTCCCCTGTCAGGTTCCATGTTCATTGGTGGGAGGGTAGCTATGATTTTTTATTGGGGGCCTTGGTGGAGGTCCTTTGGGATTCCAAGCCGAACAAGCGGGGCGCCCCCACACTCCCAGCCTTTGTGTCTAGGGGTACGATCCCTATTGCATTTTGGAATGAAGCGATGTCTGATGTAGTCTTGATTGACATGGGTGTCCAGCTACTAGGACACCTTTCATGCCACGGTGGCCCCACTAAAAATGGCCCAAGCCCCAAAAAGGGTTCCAATTTTTTTTCCAGGGTCACTGAAGAAGTGAGGTTTGAGAACATGTGTTGATCATAATTCGGTCCTGGCTCCGAGCCTCCGCGGTGGCTCCGAACCTCAAAACCAAGCCAGGGTAGATCATTGGTTGCACCCTTTTGCCCTTGCAAAAAACACCATCCAACAGGAGAACCACGATGTGTGTGGGGGTATCCCAATTTTGACACACCCTCCCAACAATAATGGAAGCTGATCTGTACTGCCCAGACGCCAAAACACATCTACTGAGGCCTCGGTGCCATCGCTTGGGGCAAGAGGCGGGCTACGCGTCCTCGCTCGATGCCGTCCTCCCCGCCCGAGAAAACTCAAACAGTTGTTGAGGGACCCGCGGCGTCCCCTTTTTTTCACTCCCCAAGATAACCCAGGGCCTCCCTTGACATCAATCACCCGGGGGTTTAAGCCTATCTTGAAGTTAACAACTGGGACCGTGGAGGGACCAACCTCTTGCCTCCATTTTCTCAGTTGTTTTCTTCTTCTTTTTTCTTAAACAAAAATCCCTCTTTGGTCTTAACAGGAATTCATCACTACTGGAAATATGTTTTTTTCCTGGGGCCTTACCAAATGGAAGCTTGGTGCAAGAGGAACCTGGAGATCATGAGGAAGCTGAAGGAACCCATGTGAAGACTCGGCCATTCTCGTGTCGTCCAGTTGATTACTTTCTCTCTCTTGATGGCTGCAAGGAAGCCAATTCTTCACTGTTGCTGGCAGGTTTTTTTGGTGCTGTTCACTTTTAGTAGGGGCTGCAAACAACTAGAATTTTTGGCTACCACACCAACGGTTGGACAGAGCTGGAAACTAGGAAACTGAAGGCTGCCAGAAAAGGGACATGTCCAAGAGGACACCAAAACAGAGTCTTCGGCGCGGTTTGTCCAGGCTGCCTCACATGCTCGCGGCAGTGGCATCAATCAGCCTCGGGCTTTGGGTTGGCCTAGTGGCGCAGGACGACAGGGCATCGGGCAAGTGGTTAGGAACTATGGAGACCACCCACTGAACGGGAACTTACCACTCACTCCCTGAGTTCCGTTTCGCACTTGAGTCGTTTTGTGGGGTTTGGACCATTTGAGTAATAAATGCCAGTTCAGACTTGTTTGGGCCAATACACTCAGGAAGTGAGAGAATGTGCCGTGGATCCCAGCCACTATAGTAGGTAACCCTTCGCCATGTTGAGATTTTGTGTTAAAGGTCAGCTCCAACTTGATGGTCCCAATAGTTCCCTTTTTGGTGGTTTTAAGCATCACTTTTTGGTCCATGCACGGTGAGTAGCCCTTGGTGGGGGTGATGTTTTGAGGGGAAATATAGGGAGCCCTGTCCAACTTCATGGTCATGAAATCATGAGATATATCAATCCCATCCGAGGGGTAGGTACGTTACCGGAGGCGGGTATTTGAGAGCTGTTGGGCTTTTGGGGTTGCTTAGGGGAAGGGTTCCCGAGGCCCCTTTGAGCTATTTTTCCTTGGATTTAGGTCGGCCTTTGGCTCCGGGCTCCCCACTGAACATGTTGAGCCAAATGGCGGTCTTCCTTTTGACTTTGAAAACCAACCTGAAAAAAAATACCTCAAAAGAAGCTGTCAAAGAACCAACGTGCGTTGAAAGGGTGCCCGCATGGAGTGTCCGCGGGACATCCCCACCCCCTTAAAAATGGGATTGGGCGAGGGGTGACCCTGGAAAACCATTTCTGGCAACGAATTTTCCCTTTCACTGGGAAGACTACATAAATGGATTTGGGGCTTTTCCCCCACCCCCCTCCCACCTCCAGCAGGGATCATGGGACGTGTACAGATTCGAGATCCAAACCCGGGCATGGGCAGCAACCCGAATCGAATCGGGTTTCGATGGACAGGACCGCCAGCACTTCGACACGCCCCTGCTGGGCAGCATCGATCTCCCGGAAGGCGAAAACGAAGAAATTTGTTTTTACTTTGGCGCATTTTGCCAAGGGATGTTAGGACTTTAACTTTTTGCCAACTAATGGGATTTCCGAATTAAACCACTAATGATGTTGGGGCTGAAGAACTTTTTGCCCAACTAATGAACAGGTTTTCAGAATTAGACCACTAAGAGTTAGTCACTTTTAGCAGGGCTTCGCAAATTTCGCAACCGAGATTAGGCTTCACTGAATATAGAACAGGGTCAGAACATATGTGACTCAGAACTTATGTTTTGTGGCGCAGATGTTGGCCAGATGGAATCGGTTCCCTGAAGGTTTTTCTTTGCACATGTCCGTTTAGCCAACCAACAGGACAGGGTGTCCACCATTTTGAGAACTGCACGTGCCATGAAAAGAGCGAAGCCTAGAAGGGAAGCTAGTGTTTTTGAGCGAGAATGAGGGGGAAAGAATGGGGAACTGCCCCTACGAGTACACTTGCAGTCGTTTGGAGTTGTGAGTCTGAAGGTTTGGTGCACATCCAACCGGACTTTGTCGCCCCTTAGATTGTTCACCTGTGCCAGGCTCGTACAGGGAGGGAACCAGCATAGTTGTAAACTAGAACTGTCCAACTGTGATGTCTATTGGCGACACGTTGGATGTATATTATACATATACATGTGTATATATATATATATGATGTGTGTATGGGTGTGTCTTAAAATAGGGAACCTCAATATGGCCTGCCTGGAAGGCTTTGCTTCAAAAAAGCACTTGAAAGGCCAACAAACACACCCGTATTGGAGTCATAGAGGCATCGAGGGCGGGTTGGATGCTGAGCAAATGTCCAGGTGTGTGGTTTCCGTGGTTCGCTGGGATTGCCGCTGGCACAGCAGCAGTTGGCACCTCAGTCACGTGAAACACCAGCAGGGGACAAGTGGGCGGTTCGCAAAATACTGGTCCCCTAAGACGGGTAGTGTTACTTTTGGTTTCCCTTTAAACCGTCAAACTTAGTGGTCACTAAAGCCGGGTCATGGTTTCCCTTTAAACCATCAAACTTAGTGGTCCCCTAAAGCCGGGTGTTGGTTTCCCTTTAAAGAATCAAACTGAGTGTTCCCGTATTATTGGACCCCCCCAGTGTTGCGGCGAGACACTCATTTTCATTGTCGCTGAGATTGCGTGTGCAGATGTGTGCAGCAATGGCGAAACTTTTGCTTGACAGTTTCTTGATATCTCAGTAAGAACTGTTCAATCATTTGCACATACTTCCCGGGTGGCTTTCCATTAACATGCCATGTAGAGTTTTGAGGATGTCACTTCAACGGACATCTGAGGCAGTGCTGAGCTACTTCACCTGGAAGCTTGCCATTATCTCAGCTCACAGGTATGCAGTTTCATTTGGCTGGACTTGGCGGGCAATAGAAATACATGTGTGTTTCTCAAATGGGTTTGTCTCAAAGGAAAACCTTCCAAACAGGTGGTGTCCTCAAATGTATTTTTTTCTCCAAACTGTAAACCAACCACAAAAAGGGTGCCCTCAAAAGCACGACACATTGGCACCACCCTCCGTTTCCGTTGGGCACAACGAATTCCCCATGGATCAAGATTCCCGGCCTTTGCGGAAAGAGCCACGGGGCCAGAGCGGGTCTGAGGATGGCTTTTGGGGGTAAAAGCTTAACTGCTATTGGGTAACGGATCTTTAGACTTTAACTTTTTGGTTGAAATCGAGTTGGGTTTTCCACTACACCCCCAAAAAGTGACACTTTTTGCAGGGGGTCAACAGCGATGAAGGAGTGTACAGTACTTCCTTGGAAGGAACGTGGACCGTTTGGGTCAGCGATTGCTGTAAATTATGGGGGCAGTTGCTATCTTGTTTCTTGATTTGCCATGTTTAGTTCGGGAACTCACGGGCAAGCGGCTTGTGCCGACGTCAGCTTGAAGCTCAGTGACCAAGGGAGAACATGGAAGAAGCCCGATCGCAACAGCCAGCTGAAATACAGGATGCCTCTTCCGTTTCTTCTATCAAATCTATCCTGTTACGCGTTTGGTTTGCATGCCTTCCAACTGCGCCCGAGCAGATTGGCTGTGGCACTCCCTTTCCTTGGCTTGTACCCATGCGCTCGCAATGCCATTGGAACACTGCGTCCACATATCTTTTCGTGCCGGCAAGTGCAGTCAGGCAAAGCCGTGCTTCTAAACACTGTCTCGGTCTGCGCAATCCCAATCCAAAAAGGACATTCAGGGTTTTTTTAGGGACCCCTGCCGAAGTGTGGCCATAGAAACTGAAGCCTTTTTCGGCCTAATCCAGAAATGCAACCCGGGGGCCGTAGTTGGCTTTAGCTTAACACCTAGTTTATGGGGATTGTGTTTTTTGTGTTGTGGGTAGTTTGTGTGATGCGGAACATCCAGAACAAGACGGGATTCCTGTTTTGGGAACCTTGCCTGCTCACTTGCCCAAAGTGAATCCACCTGTTGACCTTTTGGTTTCCCTGATGTCCATTTTTCGTCCTGTGGTTCCATTTCTCAGTCCCTGCAACGGAGGACACCACAACATGGTGTTTTTTTTTGTTGGCTTCCCTTTACCCTCCCAATTACAATCCCAAAAGCATTCATAGGACCTTACCCTCCCAAACAGAACATAGGACCTGCACAGGAATTCTTGAGGGGACCCCTGCGCAGGTGAAATGTGTGTGTGTTTTGGGAGGGTAAATGCCAGCGCACAAAAAAAACACAAAAGGACTTTTGAGCTTCCCTCTAATTGGTGGTTTGGTGGTTTGGAGGGTGATTTCTCATCCCTGTACAAGATCCAGGGGTTCAGCTCCCCAAATCACCGGGCTCCGAAGCACCAAGTTGGGGGAAGCTGAACTTTGGCTGGTTGAAGCACTGCACCAAGGGCCGTAGGTGTAATTACTAGGTCCCCCAGTAGTGCCCTTCTCTCCCCTTTTTTGGAGAGGGTTCCCCTACTAAAATAGACAAAACCGAAAAAGGTCGGGTGCCAACTTTTTCTATCCTCTCAAATCTGGAGGACCTAGTCTACCAATCATCTACCAGGGCCATCTGGCTGTGGGTCAAACATAGGTACCCAAAAGGGAACTCTGGTAAATGGAAGCCTGGACTAAAACCTGCGGTCCCCTAGAGGTTTTATTTTGACCCCCATCTATGTCCACTAAAAGGACACCTACTCAGTTGTTCAGTGGCACCAATTATTTTTCCCCTTTTTTTGGTGGCTGCCCCACTAAAAATGGTCCAAGCCCCAACAAGGGTTCCCTTTTTTTTCCAGGGTCGCTGAACAACTGAGACCCGGGCGCTGCTGAGGCTCTAGCGCTGCTGACCGGCGGCCTGGTCACCTTGATCGCCTTAGCGGTGCGGAGACCTGGTCACGTTGCGCGCCGTGGGCTTGCCGTTGGCAGGGGCAAAATGGGTTCTTGACACATTCCCTCGTCGTTTCACGATGCGGCCCACCCCAAAAAAAAGAATAATCGACAAACACCACACAATTGTGGGTTCCCTTTGGCCTCTTTTGAAAACCGGCCCCAAAAAGGGTAATCAACATCAAAAATGGAGACACCCATTGTCAGGACCAAGGGCCCTTGTTCGGGAGCCGGCGGCCGAGCTTTTTCCGCGAGGCCTGCCGTTTGGCCAACGTCTCGCCGGAGAAAGTCTTCCAGCAGCTGGGCGAAACTTTTTTTTTAATGAAGCGGCGAAGCGGTGGCTTGGGAGTTGGGAACCTGGGGCGAAACTTGCTTTTTATGAACTCAGTTGTTCAGTGGCACCATTTTTCCTTTTTCCAACTCTTTTTGGTGGCCCCACTAAAAATGTTGTCTTCCCCAAAAAGGGTTCCCCTTTTTCCAGGGTCACTGAACAACTGAGTCAAGCGGCGAAGCGGTGGCTTGGGATTTGTTAACCTGGAGTCTCCGAGTCTGACCCTTGAATCGGGTCAGAAGGAGACTCCAGGTACTAAACAAAATAGATGATAGTTAAGTCCATTTTGGGGGTGGTGTTAAAGTGGAATCTAAAGGGGAACCCGCCATCTTGGGTTTCGGGGACCTCAAAATGGCGGGATGTCCTTTTGGTTTACCAATTTCGCTGCATTGCCTGACTTAGCTTGCCCCCTTTTTCCTTTCAGCCTTTCAGCACACGTCTCCAAGCCTTTTTCCGTATCTAGAGAGCGCGAGAGAGAGAGAGAGAGAGCGGCTTTGGGAGGTGTTGTGCTTTTCCCCTTGTTGGGCTGTTTGCCCTGTTTGTATGCTTGGAAACTCTGGTGTTGCTCCCCTCGACGGTTGGGTTGCCAGGCAGAAGTCTGCCCGTTTCTGTTTGGAAATGGTGGTTTGCTGCAGATGAAGACGGGTCGGGCACTGTCCAATTGAATGTTTGAGTGAGGCCACTGGACCTGTCTCCGTGCAGCTTTTTGGTCTCTTTATTTCTCAGGCCCAGTGTTGACCATATGAATTCATATTTGAAGGTTTACCTTGGACCAGAATGCAAAGTTTCGTTTTTGCTGACCAAACCGTGAGGTAGGAGTCTGGGTGCTGAAACGTTGGAAATGCCGTGCCGAATGTCGAATCATTTTTGGACCCCTCAAAACATGTTTTGGTCAATACCTGGAGTCTCCATGACCCTTAAAAAATGGGGCCATTACCCAAAATAAAGGGGTCATGACCCCATTTTTGTTAGGGTCAGAAGGAGACTCCAGGTATTGGTGAGAGTCATCTTTGCGGGCTCCCAAAAGGCCCCCAAAGATGGATCGAAATCGGTTTCCTTTGGTTTCTTCTTTGACACCAAAAGGCGGTTGCCCCCCAAACAAAAGCACCCGATCCAAAGAAGCCGATGTTTTTTTCTGGGCTGAAAGAAAACAAAGAACGTCGAGCACACTTGATGACATGTCGGGATGGCTTTTGGTCTTGTTTTTTGTTTTTTGTTTTTTACATTTTCAGCCGGGGTGGGTTCCGGAGATATACAGGTTATATACCACTTAGAGGTATTTACTGCCTTGCGAGTTTTGATATATATGGTTTGTAAGCCTCCATACCTCCAATGGTGACTTAAAGCAAAAAGGAGAACCAGCTTTTTTGGGGTCCCCTAGTTTGGAGACTCATTATTTACGTCATTTGCCTGGACCCTCAAACTACTCGAAACAATGTTTTTTGCTCCAAGCATGGTTGTAGTTGTTGTTGGGAAACATTTTACATTTTTGCTTACTGTGGTTTGGTGGGAAATCCCCACTTAACTGCAAAAGCATATTTTCTTGCTCCCCTTCCAAGGTCAACCAAGAAAGATTGGGGGTGATTTCCAACTTTATGGTCCAGCCCAGACCCGCACCCGAAGGGTCGAAGGGTTTCAACACGTCGAAGCAAGCGCGAGGCTCGGATCCACTCTGCTCTCTTCGTACCGGGTGGTAGGCCGGAAGGGACATTTTTTGAGCGCCGAGTCCTCTTGACCGGCGACCATCTTGGTAACCTCAGCAACCTATTGACTTGTAGCCCTTGACCACCTACAAGCTTTACAACCATCTTAGACCAGGAGGTTTACAGTAGCCGCACTAGTCAATAGCTTTGGTGCTCTTTGAAGCAAGTTACGGCAGTCGGCAGGACGAAGGAAATTGACACAAGACACCCCTAAAACTTGTTGCTTGTGGAACCTGAAGCAAGCCCAGCATTGAAGAAACCGCTCGGAGGGCAGCTCACCTGAAACGTGCCCAAGTCACGTGTTTCGGGCTGCTGACACCATGAGGGTTCATCTAGCATGCTATGGGACTGGTGTCGCGCCCAGAATTGGAGCCCTCTTTAAGGGTCACCACTTTACTCCGGGAACTCGCGCAAGCATCCAAACCCAGTTGCCCAGTGCCGTTATTTCCTTTTTGTTGGGAAGGGTTTACCTTGAACCTCAACCAACTAGAAAAGCAAACAAGACATGCTTTTGAGGGAACTGCAAAAGCACTGGGAAGACCGTCCCAAACCGGCTTGGGCCGTGGCCAGTTACTTGTCACGGGAAGTGAACCAACATGCTGGGTCCCATATTGCCGACCCGCGCCATTTGAGTTTTTTTTTTTAGGAGACCCTTCAAATGTTTGTGTTCCCTTCGGTTTCCCTTTAAAACCATCAAAAAGAGGTACCCTCCAAAAAAAGAGACACCCAAGTGGGCAAATTATCATCATAATACTCAGGCTAAAAATCGGGACTTTTGAAGTGAGGAACCCTTATCATCAGCTCCTTTCTTCTCCAGGTGAGATCGTGAAACATTGTTTCCTAGAACCTTGTACGGGTATGTCATTTTTTAGGAGACCCCCCCCCCGTAACAAAAAACACATGTGCGTTCCTTTGGCTTCTCCTTTCAATCCACCAAAACAAGGGGGTACCCTCAAAAGCGGCTTTCATACGTTCTGCCCTTAGACGCCTTCTCGACTTGGGATAGGATGCTCTTTGGCTGGAAAAACCAAAGCTTCACAGTGGATCTTGTTCAAGTTTTCAAGTACCTGGAGTCTCCGTGACCCTTTACAAATGGTTGGTCATGACGAATCTCTAGTTTGGGACAAGTGGTTGGTCATGGTTGGTCATGATGAATCTCTAGTTTGGGTGATGACCAACGATTTGTTAAGGGTCATGGAGACTCCAGGTACCGCGATTCATTCAGACACTTTGGGGGAACCACGAAAATGCTTGGTTTACTTTTGGTGTCTCTTTCAGCTACGTAAAAACGCGGGTACCCTCAAACAAGGACACAGCCCACAGGTGTTGTCTTCTTTTTTTTGGGCGGGGGGGAGGGGTCCCATTAGCGAAATGGATTTCGTCCATCCACAGTAGTGCCCAAGCGTCATGTGGGACACCTGCTTTCGCATCTCGGCCAGGTGCTGTGGTATTGACGCTCTCAGTGATTGTCCGCGCCCCGTTGGGGGGCAGCGGGCCATGATGGAAAGGCGCAGACTGGGTTATGAGGGATGTTTTTTTGGGGGTGGCTTAAAAAGGGACGCCCAAAGGAAACCCACAGCTTTCCGTTATTTTATATTTCTGGGGGGTCCGATTCCTAGTGTAGGACAAACCCTACAGGGTATGTGTCATATTCGGAAACTCCCAGCATGGGCTTCTTGCGTTCCCCTTTTGGTGTCCCTTCCCAACCTAAAAACACTAGCACTCCACCTTCTCATAGAACCGGTCGGCCAACCAGTTCGATTATCCCATGTACGGCAAGTTACTGGCAACTGGTGTTGCTTTTTTTTGCTTGGGATACCTTTTGGATTCAACCAACAGTAATGACCAGGCTATGAATATATATATATATATATATATCTATAGGTGTATATTATATATATATATATATATATATATATATGTACCTCTTCTTTAGAAATGGTTGGTGGGCATAAATGTCCATATCACTAGTGCCCACCAAGCGGGGCATAGCTGTGTTGAAGCAGAACGAGTTGTAGATACCCTTCGGACATGTGAACCTGGGACAGTCTCTTTCTCCAATAGTGGAAGCTGACAGGAGGGCTTTGGAGGACTACTTTTCTTTTGGCAAAACCCTCCCCGCCCACTTCAATGACTGAAACAGAGTAATGACCAGACTCGCATTTCATCGAGCACGAACAGCTTCAAGAACAAGCATGGCTCAAGCATCCACAAAGAAAGAGAACTTGCCTGGATCCCCAAACCTTCCAAAGAGGTTGTTGGTGGCAAAAATAGATTACAGGTGGATAGAAGCAATTTATTAAGTTTATCCTCAGAAATCCCTATTAAATTAGTTGTCTTTTTCTTGCTGGAAGAACTCTGCTTTACCACCTAGAAGGTGTGCTTAGGTGGCGGACATGGACATGGACACCCGCGTGGACTCGTTTTCCCTGTTTCACCTCACTTCAGGTGGATAGAAGCAATTTATTTAAGGGTTGTCTTCCATCCTTAGAAACCATATTGAGCTGGGTGTCCTTAGGTGGGTGGTGAACGTCGGTTTCCCTGGGGGTTCCTGTTTCACTTCAGGTCTTCTTCTTCATGGTGCGGAGCTGCCACACGCAGATGGCCGAATTTGTGGGGACCTGAGCCGAGCCAGGGCCATGTCTTCGTTTTGGCTTCTTTGGGAACCCACGATTTGTTGTTTTGTGTGTCCTTGTTATTATTTGTAAAACCATGTTGTTGTTGTTTTTTGTTTTTCTCATTTGGGCCATGGGGTCCTTGTGTTTTCTTATTTTGGCCATGTGTGTCTTTGTTTTGGTTGTTTGGGCCATGTGTGTCTTTAGTTTTGGTTGTTTGAGGGCCATGTGTGTCTTTGTTTTGGTTATTCGGGCCATGCGTGTCTTTGTTTTGGCTTTCTTTGGTAAAGTCAAGACAAAAGACACTCCCCTTTGAAAAACCCCTTGGGAACCCCTTTTGCTTTACTTTGAAAACTCCTTTGTTTCTTTGGTTATTTGTAAAGTCAAGACACTGTTTGGCTTTCTTTGGGAACCCCCGTTTGCTGGTGCGATAAGTAGGGACCGAGACATGAATGGAAGAACCGTTTTGGGACTTTCCGAATAACGGAAACCACCAGTTGGATGCTTTTTCTTGGGGTCATTCCATTTCTCATTCACTGCTGAGCACCAGCAAGTTTTGTATTTTTCATTTTTTACGATACACGACACCCGTTGCCCTTGGGTGAGCGCCTCATTTTTGACATGCCACATTCGGGGGGGGTCCAAAGACTCTAATTTTACGCATATCCATTTAGGGACCCTCACTTAAGCAGATTGGTCAAACAATGTTTTTGTGTGAACCAACATTATTTTGTCATAAAAAATGGCATGGTAACTTGGAAAGTGCACCTCGTGACATCCTCTTCATGGATACACTGGACGGTGGTGTCTGTGATGTGGGTGTTTCCAACAAAAGCATGGATTTGCTTTTTGGCTTCTCTCGAGAGACTGGCCAGTCAGCACCCCTCCCAACAGCTGCTTTTTGCCATGTTCGAAACTTGTACCTGACCAGGTGTCAACCCAGATCCCTTGAAGGGTGTCAAATTAGGCCCCCCCCCCCGCGAACAAGAAAAACAACATTGGTTTTCTGTTTGACCAACCCTAAGAAGGATACCAAGCCTCAACCCCACACCACACATGCCAGCAAATACTTTCTTGGGGTTTAAGTTTTGAAAGCAATCCTGAGATCGATACCTGTGATCTGTCTAACTACGGGGGCCCTCAAATAGGCTGCTTCCTTTTGGTTTCCCTTCTAGCCCCAAAAAGGCACCCTGAAAAACAAAACACACCCAAAAACGATGCTCCTGTTTGGTGAGGGTTCCCCTTGTTGGGGGTTTATATGCAGCCAAAAATCCGTTGGCGTTATTTGGGGACCCCAAGAACGACACGCTCCAACGCCCCGGACGCCTTTTTCGAGCACCGGACGCCGAAGCGTCCAGAGGCATCCGCTCAGCTGGGCACTCTGCTCCTGCTCTCCGGCGCGCCTCGGCGAGATTCGCTTTTCTGCGGCTTCGACTGGCCCCAGCCAGTCGTGCCCTTTCTCACCTTGTCTTTTGTGGTTGCGAGGCTTCCAAACGACAAAAAAACGGACCTCCAGAAAACAGTTGGTACCAACTTATTCTCACCTCTCAGGACCTAGACGGAATGAAAAAGGTAGCCCCTAAGGTGTGAACCGAACCGAACCAAACCGCAAATGGGTGTGGCAATCAAAATTTAAGAGCGAGGGGCAGACCGCAGGTTTGGTTCCCAAGCCATTTTGGAATTCCGGTTTTTTGAATTCGCCACAGCCAAATCAGGAGTGAGGTCATTCAATTCTAACACGGGGTTAATGAACCCCTTCTGATTTATGACGGGGGGTGTCACCCGTTTTAGTCTTTCGGAGGGAAGACGAATTTATTCACCCGGGGTCAACATCAATTACTTTACTCGACGGGGCGTTAGCTGTTTAGTTGTTTGGCTCTGCTTCTTTTGAGTGAGTTGCAAACAAATCAACAAAGCATCAACATGTGTTGCTACCATGCCACGGCTTGGACAGATTGCCAGACGTAAGGTGGATGCCCATGTTGTAACTATTGGAACAAGGAACTCCCCTCTAATCAGCCATGATTTTGTGGTTGAGTGTGGCTGGCTTACTTTCAATATTCAGGGCCTTCACGTAACTGACGTTTTGACGGTTTGCCTTGTTAGTGTTCCATTGGTTTGTCTTTCAACCAGCGAACAGTCTTTCAACCAGCGAACAGTTAACGCTTTGCAGGGGCCTAAGTCTTATCACTTCTCACTAAGTGACCTCTTTACTTAGGGTTGATAGCGATGATCATTGGGTTTGCCTTGATGTTTGCTTGGGATTTGCTTGGGGTTAATACTGGTTTACTTGATAACCACAATAACTAGGGTCATTATCATTTTGTTTTTGTTGGGTCATCCAGGTCAGAGACGGCTTCATGTTTCCCTTTAGCCTACCAATGGCGACTTTGGCGAAGGCAAAAAAAAAAAAACCAAGAGCTAAATGGCTGTGGGTCAAAACCAATGGTGCCATTTTGGGGTAGGTGTACCACGGTTTTAGAGAGGTTCCCACCAAACTATGACCGACATAGTGTTCAGTGGGTGACCCCTTTTAAGCGCCTCCTAGTAATGGCCTTGGATGTGTCTCAAAATGAGGAATGGGAGCTGGGTCGCTTCAAGCAAACATTTGGAGGAGTTCTCCAAATTACTTTTGCGGGTGTGGCTAGTTTTTGGGGGACGTCACTTTCATGTATCCAGTGCACCTCCAAAATGGGTACAGGCTCCCTTATTACCGCGAAAGGATCGACGCCCGGCCTGACATATCTTGATCCAGAATTGAAGCCGAACTCGGAGATGGAGCTCACCATAGGGGGATTGCAACCACAAATTGACGCAGATACCCTCCCACCAGCTAACATGAAAGTGCACAGACTCCTGCAGAAAGACGACTTTCCTTTTGGAACGGGCCTTTTTGCACTTCCATGTTAGTTGGTGGGAGGGTAACCAAGTTACTTGGTTTTTCACCCAGCGTTCTGCGTGGACATCTGTAACACCAGAGGTGTGCCTCGTGTGGGTTTGTCTTTAAATGGGCCCCTCCTTTGTTTGGAGTTCAAGCCTTGTTTCTCCGTGAGGAGCTCATGGAAGCCACAGGTGCCGATTTGGAGCCAAGCAACCACGAATCTGTTGTCCACAAATAGGACATAGAAGCCCACGAAGAATGCCACATGGATTTTTGGTCGGCGGTTTCCCTGTGAGACAAAGGTCCCACCTCCAAAATGCTCTCGATCTAAAAATAATGCCTTCAGACCAGCACTTGCACAACAGCGTCTCGGCTATTGCCACCGATTGAGCATGTCCAAGCTGGAAGAGCTGGTCATAGTGAAGTTCCTTGTAACGGCTGTTGACCAGTTAGACTGACCCCCTCAAGTCTTGGCTTGCACCTTCATGTTTCTGTGTGTGGGGCTGCATTTGAGCCACAATCAAAGCCCGGGTAGATGAAGTAAGGGACAATCCCAACCATACATAGCTGCGGATATCCGCCTTCTTATTTCTTGAAGCATGGTCCTGGGTGGACGGACCATTTGAATACCGAATCGGTTTTGAGCAAGTGACCTATTTCTTGAAGCACGGGGCAAAGGTGCGGCACACCAGTCGGGCTCAGGTGTCGTACTTCTCGGCCCGCGTGGGTGCAGAGGCGAGGCCCGATGTTGAGTTCACACCCGAATGCTACTTGCGCAGTGATGGCATCCGCTGGGGTCATCATTTTGATGGTTCTTTGGTGCTTTTTGCTTGGAGGTTAGGACTTTAACTTTTTGCCAACTAGTGGGTTTTCCACTAAACCACTAAAAGTTAAACTTTTAGCAGGGGAGCAGAAAGCAACCAAGGGTTGCTGGTGGTTAATTATCAAAGTCACACCATGGGGGTGTTTCCCTTTAACCCTCCACTTACGGGGTAACTTTGATCATGGTGAAACAATGAGGCCAGCTCCAAGCCAGTGTTTAAGGTTCATATCAAGTCCATGCTTAGAACAGCTGGTGTGTCAATTTAGACCCGTGACATCGTGAGACTCGCAATGCGCTTTGTGGTGCACGGCGGCTCTGTTACATGCAAGGCATTGGGACTGTGACGCTATATGGCCATGGGTCAAAACCCCGTACCCCCACAGTGAACAACTGAAATAGACTAACATGGGTAGTGCACCTACCCCAAAATGGTACCATTGGTGTTGACCCACTATGTTTCCCTGATAACAAGCCCGGAACCGTCAGCTTCCCCCGGCCCAACAGAAACAACAATTGTGCTTTGCATATCTATGCACTTTGATCAGGAGCATCCTCGATATCCCTGTGTAAATACTGTCCACCAAAGGGCACCACAAAAACATATGGCACACCCACATCCACTATTATGGTCACCGCTTCTTGTTCAAGGGACTCCGGACTGTCACCAACCTCAGGGAAAAGACAACGATGGTACAGGGCCATCATCAAAGGCGCCATGTGGGTATGGCTCAAAAAACCGGAATACTAAAATGGCTTGCCCTGGCAAGTGGAAACATGGACCAACACCTGCGTAACCCTAGCTCTTAAATTTTGAGCCACAGCCATGTTCATGGTAATGAGAATGTCCACTATGGAGGGTCCTTCAATCACTAGCTTGGTAGAGGGAAAGGGCCGACGGCTTCCCCCGCCCCACAGCCGTATTTTGGGGTCAGACCACGGAATGGCTGGTTGCCCTTTGGCTTCTCTTGAAGCCCACCCCACAAATAGGCAACTACCTGAACCCTCCAATTCCCACAACAATTGTTTATAGCCATTTATAGCCCTAAACTTATGGGGTGAACTCCCCTTTTTATGGTACATCCAAAACGACTTGCCCCGACTTGCCCCGACTCGCAGGCTCCCTTCAGCTTGCTGGACGATATGGCCAGGATGGCGGCGGAGGCGTGATGGAACCTGCGACTGAACTGACCTCTTGGATTCAGTTTCACCTAGCCCTTGGAATCTCCACTGGGGTAGACTTAGGATACATTTTACATTTTACCAGTGACGCAAAGTGAAGCAATCAATAAAATATACGTTCTATAACTGGTTGCCTAGCTCGAATCATGTCCTAATACTCTCTTTCTCCGGCTTCTTTTTTTGAGAACTGATCGGGGCTTTGCAGGGTGTTGTGTGTGTTTCCTCCTTTTTTGGTAGATGGTCGACATCATGCGCTAAAAAGAGAGGGTGTTGGGTGTAAGGGGTACATGAACCTTGTTGAAGGGCTTTCTGATCTTTGGTGTTGAATTAAGTGACTCTGTTGCCCAGTGGATTCCGCCCTTGTTGCCTTTGTTTTGGGGGAAGGGTTCCGATTCCTTGAAACTCAACCAATCAAATATAGGGACGCCGATTCTTTTTCCCATGGAAATCTACTGGGCATCTGAGGTGACTAACCGTGGACCCAATTTGGATGATGAAAGTTCTTAGGTAAAGAACGGTTCTCTTCACCCACCCCCCCTTTGTTTTTTATTTGTGGCAACTGGTCCCCGTTTACAACTCGATAAAGGAGCAATGTGAGGGGTGGATTCCAACCATTCTTTTCAACCATGGTTCTTTGCAAGAACCGATCGCTGCTTCCAACCTGTGGTTATATCAACCTGCGTTGTTTTGCTGGTGGTTTGAACCTCAGGGTAACCGTTTGACGCATTTCAGCCACCTGGCGGGTTCTCCTTCCAACTCCCCCGGCACAGCTCGCTACGGTGGAAGCCTTTCCGAGGTACGGGGAGGGAACTGCCACTTGTGGCAAGACGAGGACGAGGACGGTTCGGTTCGTATAGTTGGTGCATTTTGCCAAGGGATGTTAGGACTTTAACTCTTTGCCACCTAATGGGTTTTCCGTATTCAACCACTAAAAGCTAAAGGTTATTCACTTTTGGCAGGGGAGCAGATGTCGCAACCGAGGTATATAACTGAGCATTGAGCTACTGTTGTTCTTCTTTTGTACGTTTGTTCTGCAGATCAGGTGAGTTGGTTTGGAATTCGAATCGAGCTGCCAGCTCCTGGGGCTTGCAATGGGTCTCAAGACCTGGCTGTTTGAGGGCCCTAAACTGATCGGGAGTGTTTGGGTGAGCAGTTATTCTTGGTCTCACAAATTCTTAACCAGCAAACCACCGATTCGGCTCCATGCCACCAAACACGGAGGGAAGCTGAGCAGAGGGGAGAATGGCCGGGTTCGCCCACCAGGAGTTGCCCAGCAAGTCTCCAAGTCCCAAGACCAGCACTGTGACCTTTCAACATCAGTTCCTGGTGTTTGACGGGGGCGTGTCCCGTTAACATCAACAGATTCGAGCAGAAATCCTTGTGTTTTGGAGGGGGCGGTGTTTTCCCCCCCTCCCTTTCTAACGCCCCGGATTGGGGTCTTATTGGGCCTCATTTGTCCTTATCAGATGATCCCGAATCTATGTTTGGATTGGTCTGGGAATTCGATCCCCTGGTTCCAGCGAGACAATGGGAAGCTGTCTAACCTGCATCCAAACCACCAATTGGGTTTGTCTTAAAATGGGGCACCCCTCCAAACGTGGCAGTTTCCTTTTGGTTTCCCTCAAAAAACAAACACGGGTACCCTTTAAAATAGCGAGACCCAATTTGAGGAAAGCGGAAAGCTGGAGGCTTACCCGGCTTGGTGCTCGCACCGTTCCAGGACACAGGTTTGGTGGGTTGCGATTGCCGGAATCTCAGATGGACGTTTCTGGGGCGAAAGAACGAGGGAAGTATGGGAGGTGTGGGAGGTATGGGAGTAACGTGCATGGGGTGGGGGTAAGATGGACGAAATCCTCTTAAGCACCACCTAAGAAACCCCGGAGTGATGATTCCCCTTGTAAATGCCAAGAAACAATGGTTGTCCATAGTTTCAAAGTGGTGCAGGATTTGGTCCATCCACAGTATTAATCAACCAACCTCGTTTTTTTTTTTTAGGGAGGTGATGTTTGGTCCCCATCCAAGAGTAGTCTGATTCCAACCACAAAATCCAGAATGGGACACCCCCCTCCTATAAATCAACTCGGGTTGATTAATATGGGGTCAACATTGTGGGAGTAACAACCAAGAAGCAGCCCCAATAGCCCCGTTTTGTGGTTGAAATCTTCTCAAATGTGTGGTATTTGCGCCTGTTGAGTATGCTAACTTATTGGTACTCACTCTCCTCACTTGGCCGCTTGGACCGGTGATTGAGATACGATCGTCTGAAATCAGCACGGAAAACGAGTCGGGGCGTTTTCTCGAGTCGGGGCGTGCGAACAGCGAGGGTGGTTTGGGTTCCCTTTTTGATCTGTGAATGGGGAGGGAGGTAAGTCGGCGTTGTTCTTTTGCCTTGACCAAATGCAGGGCGCCCTCAAAAAGCATAGAGATGAGCCCTACACACTTGGTGGCAAGAGAACATCGACTTGAAGCTCTCCTGCATAAATGTTCGAAGTATGTATGTTTCCAGGGAGGGGGCTCCATTGGCGGAAACGTGCACCACGGACCGCGTTGCGTGGCCAAAGGGGGTCCTGATGCTGTTGTTTGCGTTCACCATGAGCGAGTTCGATTTTTCAGAAGCTCCTCCACGTGCGGTCAAAGGCGTCAGTCTCTCAATTTGATCAGTGCAGTTGACCTCATTTCCCAAGGGCCACAGACTTCAGGTATGCTACACATGGCAACCATGTTGAAACCGAAGACCTGTTGCGCTGACTCCAAATGGAGGGATCCAACTGGAGGCGAAGGATCCAGCGCAGCGTTCGGGGGTCACGCGTCATATCGCTCAAAAAAGCCCAGGCGGAGACAGGTGTCGGACGGAGATCGCCGCGTGGTCGGAGACTTGGCTCGATCCGGGTCTGCTGTACCCTTTTCATGGCAACTTTGTCCGACAAAAGCCGGGTTCTAGGGCTCAGTGGTGGTTGGATTAGGTGTAGGGTTTAGGTTTAGGGCTTCTTCTACCTGGAGTCTCCTTCTGATCCTTTTGAAATAGGTCCATGACCTGAATCTTTATGTTGGGTAATGACCAACCATTTTGTTTTGAAGGAGACTCTATTTAGGCTTAAGTTCTGGTTGGATTGGGTTAGGGTTTGGGTTTAGGGCTGAAGTTAGGCTAGGTCAGGTTGCGCCCAACAGCTATCAATTGGTTGCCGTGTTCAGGAGGCTAGCAAGCAGTGACCATGGGTGTCCTTTTTAGGATAGATTGATTGGGAATAGATGGCACTGGTTTTGCCCGGATTTATTTCATTTACTAGGGCCATCTTTTTTTCCAAAGGGACACCTATGCCATTGACACTTGCACGATCTGATGCTTCCCCCCGTTGCAAATCAACATCCAAATGGGGAGATAGGCCCCTAGCCTCCGAACAACTCAAATCACTCATTTGGGGGAAGCTGATTATTGCTAGTCTTTTAAGGGCGCCAAAGGGGCACCGGCCATTTTCGGGGTCTTCTATGTGAAGAGGAGCTCGAATTGGTTGTGCATCTAAAGGTGGAGGAGTGACGCTTAGGGGAAAACAGCTGGGGAACCCTGCTTGGCGTGAGCGACGCACATGCGCCATGCGCCATGCTTCTTGAACCTACAGTGGATACGGTTTTACCGTAGCCGAGTGATTCCATTTCCCCGTAATACAGCAGGCAACAAAGGAACCACCCTTCAAACACCAATACTGTGGATGGACAAAATCCTACACCACCTAAGAAATCCTAGAAGGATGATTCCCCTGTAAATACCAACAAACAATGGTGTCTCATGGTTGCTTAGTGGTGCAGGATTTTGTCCATCCACAGTAGGACCATGAAGGTTACCTGCTATACGCAGTGGGAACCGGGATCTGAACAAAGCAAGTGACAGGTGTCAAACCCGTTGGGGTCATTTTCAATATCTTGGGGAAGCCTATGCCTAAAGGAGAGCGAGACCCCACCTTGAATCGAAGCTTCCACGGTTTTGGTGCACAGCATTGGGGTCGTGGCCTTGCATGATACGCATGGATGCAAACAAAATACAGTTCAAAACAAGCCACTTCTGGCCACGAAACCCTGGGAACAGGTGGTAAACTACCTAGGTCCCCCAGTAGTGCCCTTTTACCGTTTCTTTTTTTGGGGGGAGGGTTCCCCTACTAAAATAGTCTACAGAAAAACGGGTACCCTTATTCTAACCTCTCTACTGGAGGACCTAGCTACAAGGTTTTCGTGGTTCCCCGATTCGCGCTATGTCATGGGGTTCCGAGGCTGGCCAGCTCCGGCATCGTGCTGCTCAGCAGATTTGTGATCCGGTGGTACCGATCTCGCAAGGAGAACTCGATCCGTTCGTGTTTCCATGGCGGACCTCGAGGGCTGCCTTTTCTCCATTTTGTTTGGATGCTGTTTGAGTGCCTTTTTCCCGTGGCCACTGGGCGTCTGGGTTGTTCACGGAAACCAAACACTATAGCTGGTCCGATGGGCAGGGAATGAGGGAATGACGCAGAAGTGAATCATTCCTTATAGTTTCGTAGGTTCCCTAGATTCATTCGTAAGACCCAAGTTGATTTCTTTCCACGAAGTGCTTTTTGGAAGAGACGAGGCCTTTTCGGGTTTGCGAGGAGACCCACTTGTTTATAACCAACATCCCTATCCCCTGAGTGGAGGGAAGCAGGGACTCACTTTTCCCTGGGTGAAACAAAACGTATCCATGGGGTGGGGGAGTAATGTTGACCCCGGATTAGTCAACTGTGTATGAAACTATGGGGTGTTTCCCCTAAAGTGACGAACCCCCACTAGAATCTGGGGCACCCCTATATTCATAAACTTGGGGTGATTAATCTGGGGTTCCCATTACAATGGGTTTGATAGGCTTTTGCTTCTAGCCGTTCCTGAAAGATGTTCACACCCGGGTAGAAGAAAGGTCCGATGTCCTTTTCTTTGCCTTTACCAAGTTGGGTGTGTCTTTTGGTAGGAGACCCCCCAAATTGGTGTCTTTCTTCTTGGGTTCCCTTTAGAACCCAACAAAAAAACACGGTACCCTCGAAAAGAAGACACACCCATTTGTCTACCTGGCTCAAGTTTCGCCCTTTGTAATGGGAGTACCTGGGTAGTTCCAAAAACGCAATGGGTTTGGTCTGAAGGTCCCTTTGGTATTTCCTGACTGGCCCCTGGAGTCTCCGAGTCTGACCCTTAAAAACCGGTTGGTCATTCACCAAAAATAAAGATTCGGGTCACGACCAACCATTTTTGATTCGGGTGGAGACTCCTAGCCCACGCCCCATGTTTAAACCTTCGCTTCACTTGGTCCATTGTTTAGGGATGTTTAGGGCAAATCCCGAAAGGTGAACATTTTATTGCCAGGTCCTTAATATGTCATTCAGACTGATGGCGTGCCGTTGCTCCAGTTGAACCACCAACTAAGAAAGAGCACCCCACCAATTTGTTTTACTTGCACAGGACATGTTGACCCAGGATGAATACACCCTTCCCATCAATAGGGGGCATGCAAGCAGTGTGTACTTTTTGTTGAGTCCTTCTTCCTACATGCAAGTGTGGTGGTTGGCCATCAAGCATATTCTTCCGGGAAGAGTCCCGAATCACTTCGGAATCCAGGAGCATCTGAAAATTGCCCGTGGGGCTTGCTGTTTGGGTGTTTCCCAAACTTGGTTACACCCCCCCCCAAACAATGTTGGGTCTGTTTTTCTTGTGGGCAGCTTTTTGGGGTTGGTTTAACATGGAAACCAAAGGGAACCCCACGAGGGGCTGATAGTTGAGAGAGGAGACTTACCCGAGGCGTGAATTCGAACAAACGTGGCTTGCAAGAAAGTCGAGTGCATCCAGCCATAGTCTCACGGTTTGAAGGGAGACCAAACTGAAAACCATGATATTTTGGGGGATCCAAAACATACGCGGGTGCGGGCTGCTCCAATGGAAAAGGAAAGTCTTCCAACGCCCTTCTGTCAGCTTCCATTGTTGAAGGGAGAGTTGGTTACCAGGCAGTGGAAACCATCATGGAAAACCTGAAACTAAAACATTCCTGGTTACCTACGTCTAGTGTTCAACTGGAAACCCAAATTCTCCCAAGTCCATTGGAGTAGACCGCACATGGGTATGTCTTTGGGGCGTTTGGGGGATCCCCCATATGGCGGCTTTCCTTTTGGTCTCCCCGCAAACCAAGGCGAAAAGGGTATCCTGGTATATTCCATAAACACCTCATGCCATGGGTCAAAAACCCGAACCCCTAGTGAACATCCCAATCCCCACAAAAAAAATAGATTCTACAATGAGTGGTGCACCCACCTGAAAATGGGATCCCATTGGTTTTGACAACCACGGCCATATGTTCACCCATATCTTTCCCAGAATTAGTTCCTTTTTTTTTGCTTGTTTGGGGTCCCCTTTGTTTTCCACTAACCAGGCAACAAAGATATGTTTTTGCTGGGGAGACTCCAGGTACCAGGATACCCTTTCGAATAGCCCCCCATGAATGGGAAGGGTTTATTCATCCTGGGTCAACATTACTATGCAAAGTAAAGCAAATTGGTGGGGTGCCCTTTCTTAGCTGGTGGTTCAACTGGAACAAAGGTATGGCTCAGGGTGGAAAAGACCCAGGCGAGCCAATCGCAAAACATTCAGACTACCCATATCTAGGCTGGAATTAGGACCCTTAAACAATGGGGTCATGACCCCTTTATTTTGGGTCATGGCCCCATGTTTTAAGGGTCATGGAGACTCCAGGTATATTCAAGAAACACCTTATGTTGACCGCTCCCAGATTCTTTCAGGAGGCCAGGGCCAGCCAAGAGGAGACGGCGCCCTTGAGAGAGGCGCAAGAAGAACCCGTGCCGCCGCAGGCCGGGAGCGCCGAACCCGGCCGTTCGGAAGCTTCAGCTCGGGCTCGCTGGAAGGGCCACCAATTTGTGCCTTTGAACTTGGGGAGCACGGGACAAAAACCGATCGCAGCTTCCCCCAAAAAAATGGGTGGTTGTTTGACAGAAGCATGCCTGGAAAGAATGGAAAAGGAAGGTACCCCTAGAACCACTGGTATCCCGCCTCAAACATGCGGCAATTTACCATCTCTTGTCCAAAGACATGGAACCCACCGAGAGGGCCACGTTAAAAGAAGAAGAAACAACACGGTCTTCCAGCACAAAAAACCGTGCGGGTCTATGAAACGAGCATGTTTGCGGATACCCAAGGCGGATTTGTCATTTGGGGCAAGAAGCCGTGTGTTGCAACGACCCAGCCGTAATTCTCATTTCAAGAGGCGGATGAAACCCGCCACGTTGAGAAACCTTGGCAGAACTTGTTCAGACCTGGGGCACCTTCACGAGAATCCGCACGGGGAGGGAGGCATTCAGCCGACTCGCAATAATTGACGAATTCAAGTGAGGAAGCCTCCATTTGCTTAAGATGTGTTTCCCTTGTTGGTTTTGAAAGGAATTCATCACTACTGGATTTTTGCTTTTTCCTGGGGCCTTGACCAAATGGAAGGAAATGGATGGCAACCAGTCTGGGAGTGCTCCTCCGCGACGGGCGCCAGGTTTGGCTCAAGCGCCAGCTGGTTTTGGGTTTATCTCTTGCGCAGTCAGGGGGTTGAGGGCCCACTGCAAACAGAATCCAGAGGTGTCCTCTTTGGTTGGTTTGCTTAAAAAATAGAGGGCGATTCCTGGTTTAATTGGGGTTGATTCCATTTTCCAGGGAAACCCATCGATTTTTCCAAAAGGCCACCTATGACAGAATCTGGAAGCTTCATAAGTACAAACAAAGGGATATTCCTAGTTGCCCAAAGCGAATCCACCTGCGAATCGACCTTTGGCTTTCCATTTTGCGGGTGCTCGTGGTCAACATCCCAAAAGGTGATCGCCTTGAATCTCCTGGTTCTTGCAAATTTGTACAACCGCCACACCACCACCACAACCACTACCCCAAACACCCTCCAGCTTGGTCTAGTTTACTGCCCGAGGGAGCGGCTGTGTTTGGGGGTTCTACCAAAGGGCGTGACAAGTGCATGTTGAGGGGTTTGCCTTCATCAAAGGCGAAGTTCTCCGCGCATGTAGTTCAATAGATTTGCCGAACTCCGCCGAGCCAACGGTTTTGACCATCGGTGCTGCCCTTTGCTTTTATTGGAGCGGGTGGTTGGTCTTAACCCCCCCCCAAAAAAAAAGAAACGGTGCCGGAACGAATGGCACTCATCCAGACCCCATGATTTTATTCCTCGCTCGAACAGGAGCTTGGTTGTTTGCAAGCTGTGGAAATTTACATGTGGGAGGCTTCTCTTGTTGGTGTTGGTTGCTAAGCTTCAAATCCACGGAGATTGCAGTCTGCGGAGAGTCTCCCATCTCGGAGTTTCTGGCACCGCCAGGTGGTGGGAGCGAAGTCCGTGTGAACAGGTCGCCGGGGAACTCAGCATTTCGAGCCCAAAGCTGCTGTTGTCAAGGGCCTTTTCCAGTAGCGGCCGATTCCTCAATCTCAATGGGCTGATAGCGCCCAAAAAGGGTCTATTGGGGGCTGGGAGCCAAGACGACTGGGAGGCTTTGTGAGGGGAGGGGAGGGGAAGGGAGGGGAGGGGATGGGAGGGGAGGGGAGGGGGAGGGGGAGGGGAGGGGAGGGGAGGGGGAGGGGGGATTTGGGGAAGGGGGGCAGGACATCCGAAGCTGTTCCAAAGACTAATTTGTAGCTAATAGGGTTGATTACCACGGTGGGTCTCAGAGTGAAGGCGAGTGTTCAGATGCGACACCGGAAAGAAACCCACCCTCTGGGCTTCAGCCTAGGCCCAGGAAGAAGTTTGTGTTTTTGTGTTTTTTTTGGTAGGAAGACCTGGTTGCCGCCGGAAGTTATCCGATCTGAATCCTGGCAAGGGAAAGAGGGGGGGTGTTTGATTGTAACTTTGAGGACCCTATGCCAGGTATTTGGTGTGGCCAAGTTGCCCCGAGCTTTTCTAATCAAACTGCATTTTCATTCAGCCTGCAAGAGCAAGGACCTTTGCAGGGGGTGAAGGGAGCAACCAAAACGGAGTTTCAAGGCTGCCAAGGAAAGTATTGATAAAGGATGGGCGACTTCGTGACGTCAAGTGACTTGCATCCACTGTGTTTGTTTCTGCTCCCATGTTCCAGTCGCCAGGAAGTCGATCTTTGGATTTGGCCCTGGCAACTAGCTTTTCACAAGAGCCATGTTTGACCATGTCGCTCCGCCCCCTAATGAATGTTTAGGGGGGCACTTTAACGAGGCCCCTTTTTGGTTCTTTGATGCACGCTTTCTGGCTGGCAACGGACACATAATGTGGGTGGCTCGTTTGTTTTCGGAGTTGGTACCCTTTTGAGTTGGTTTTAAAAGGAAACCAAAAGGACAACCGAAGCCATTTTGTGAATTCGAGTTAGACTAGTGGCAGGGATCTCAGTCTCCTCCATTTGCAGAGAGTATGTGTTTTTGCTGTTGGTTTAGACTGAACCTACTGATGGACGCAATTCATTTCTGGTTTCAGAGTAGTGCGAATGGATTTCATCCATCCACCCACAGTATCACCTTTGGACATATCTACGTTATTTTCCACAGGATGTATTCGCAAATGGAGGGTTGAAGTTGTTGAATTGCAGTCAGAGAGGTGAACATCGAACGAGGCGCAGACACTCCGACGTGGGCCGTGCTGTTTCTGCCTTCTTTTGCCACGCACAATGGGTACTATAGGAGCCCAAATAACTGTAGCGCAGCTGGGGTGACGTTAAAAACAAAGCTTAGTCATGATACTAGGGTGTGCATGTGGGTAGTATGCCTGAACATTTGAATAGCGGGACCCGCTAGCAGCAGTTCGCCCTTCGACAGTTAGCCCTTGATGTCCTTTAATTGCCAAGCGAGCTTTTCCCTCTTGGGATGTGCTATGAGGGCCAACATAATTGGCATGGTGTTCAGCGGAATTGCGCCATGGACAGCAATGTGTAATCGGCTAACTAGCCCCTTTTGGATGTTTCTCAAAATGGGGGGCTGCCATTGTTGCCATTGAGTTCTTTCGGTTTCCCAAAGCACATCCCAAGGGCCCACCTTTTTGAGAGACCCCTCTGCACGGTTGTTGGGAAGCAATTTACACGTTTGCTTATTGTGGTTTGGTGGGAAACCCCCACTTCACTGCTAAACATTAAATGGTTGCTCCCCCTTCCAACGTTAAGCAAGTCTTACCTATGGTCTCCCAGTAGTGCCCTTTTACCCCAAAAAATAGACAAAACCGAAAAAGTTGGTACCCTTATTCTAACCTCTCAAATCTGGAGGACCTAGCCTAGCGTGGCTTACTGTACATACCGCTGCCATCCCGGCGTGGCTTTCAAGAGGGAGGCTTCGCCTGGCAGAGAAAACCGCACGACGCTTCGAGTCGAGCGACGCGAAACAAACATTTTTAGCAGTGCAGGTGAGCCACAGGCGAAACCCGGGTGCTGGGGTAGACCTACTGTGGATGGACGAAATCCTCTTAGGCACCGCCTAAGAGACCCTGGAATGATCATTGCCCTGCAAACACCAGCAAATAGTGGTTTCCCATGGTATCAAAGTGGTGCAGGATTTTGTCCATCCACAGTAGGATACATTTTACATTTTACCAGTGACTCAAAGTGAACAGTGCAGGTGAAAAACATCCCGCACCCCCCAACAGCTTTTCTTTTTCCCGTCCCAGAGGCTCCTGGCTTCGGCTTGCAATGGTTTAGACCCGACCCCTCCATTAGACAGCCCGGAGGTGTGGGTCTCAAAACCTGGGTGTTTGAGGACCCTAAATTGAGCGGGAGTGTCTGGGATGTCCAAATCCCAAGCACTGTCCAAAACCCAAGCACTGTCCAAAACGCGGTTGGTTGGGGGTTCTAGATGGTTTGTTTGTGGAGTGGGTGACTTTTTACCTTTTCCCCATTGGCGCGCTGTGGACACCGAAAGGACCACCACCATGTTGGGGGCCGTTGGTGTTTGGTGATAGCTTTGTCTCGCAGATTGATGTATACTGGTTTGGGTGGACCGTTGAATTCTTGGTTTGCGTGGTGGCTTGATATAGTAAGATAAGGTCATTCTAACTCCCCTACCATGGACGATGTTTCCAAAAAGACAGGAGATGCCCACAAACGGCCCGTGCACCGCACGAGGTTTGGGACCTTGTCCCGACCGTTATAGTAGTCCAGGGGGGATTCTTACAGAGCTCAGAGGCAGGAAACAGACACGCATGTTCCCACATGGTAGTCAAATTGAATGCATGGCTTGGATATCTCAAAGGTCGAGCATGACAAGCCAACATGGAGCCTGCCTGACTGCAGGACGACCTTCGTTTTTGGATTTTTGAGGCTCCTGGGGCCTGCAATGGAAGACCCGACCCCTCTATTGGACACCCCAGAGATCTCAAAACCTGGCTGTTTGAGGCCCCTAAGTTGATCGGGAGTGTCTGGAAAGGGACCTTCTGGTGGGCAGCATTTCAGGAGAGGGGGCACGCTCCACACCGATGGTGCAACGCAAACCTGCAACAGTGAACCATGGCAAACCTTTTGCCGGCCAGCACCAAACGACGCCAATGCCTTTAGTATCGATGATGGGCATCACCGAATCATAGCCGTCAGGTTGTTCCAGACTGCTGGCTCCAGCGTTGCGACATCATTTTGTCAGACATATCGTCCAGCATTGCCAACAAAGCAGCCACACGTAAGAGGCATCGCTGGTGGATGTCCCTGATTCAATTGGCGAGGTCAAGCATGGTCACTGGTGGGGTGGATTGGGATGGTCATCTTCCATTTGCCGAAATGTTGTTTGGCTTTTCCGTTAAAGGGAGTCGATTTCACTATTGGGCATGTTTTTTGTTCTTAAATATTTGTTTCCAGTGGGCTTAAGCAAATGGAAGTCATGCAGCTCGTGCTCGGCAAGCTGAGAGGCCAGGACCGGGCGAGAGGGACGAGGCCATCCAAGCTTTGGTAAGGAGTTCAGGCGTTTATGCTGGACCCTGCCCCCAAACACTAGCAGTCACCACAATATGGAAGACCATTTTAGTGGTTGATCTAAGTTGCCATCATCCACTGTTCGGGGGTGGGGTCAGGGTACAACATCCACCACGGTAAGATGCCTCGAGGCTTCAAGGCCCTTGTTGCCACAGCGCAGAGTGTGTCACAAAGAAACGGTTGCATGGCAGGGCCAGGGAAAATAATTCCACGGTTCGGAGGGTGCGTTTCCTCGTTTCGAGAGAAGGGCAGAGTGTTGCTGACGTTGGCCATGCGCGTCACTCAAACCCCGTGGGTCCCCGCTCGCGAAGTGAGACCATCATTTTCACTTTTTTGCTGGGGATTATGAAAGTCTGAGATTGGGAAACGCCCCCCCCCCCCCCCACCAAGGCTGTGACTTTGATGGGAAGGAATGGGGCTCGCGGGGCTCGCCGAATCCCGCTTTTTTCTTTCCGGGTTCCCTACAACTTTTTTGTTTTTCTCTGGGAACATCCCGGGAAACACCCGAATGCCGACCAGGTTCAATAGCCCGCCATCAAGCGGCCGACCATCCCACCAGAAATCGATCTGCGTTGTTGTCACTGTTTGTCACTGTTTGTCGCAACCCTCCAAGCCTGGGTCCCTTCATTTCACCACTTTTCCACTGTTGATTCTTTAGAAAGATACCTTAAGCAGCACCTTATTGTCGCCAATATAAGTGAGCTTCCTTATTGCAGGCTGATAAAGCACGTGGGTCTTCTAACATATGCAACATGCTCGCTGTTGTGTCAACAAGCATTTGTTTGACAAACGAAGATGAGTTCCATGCCCTGCACAAAGCGGTGCGGGGCAAAGGCGTGCGATTGACATGTAAGCATGCTGTCTAGGTGCCCCAGTAGTGCCCTTTTGACCTTTTTTGGGGGAGGGTTCCCCTACTAAAATAGACTACAGCAAAAAGGGTACCCTTACTCCAACCTCTCTGCTGGAGGACCTGGCTGTAATCTTCGCCCACGGGTAGCTTTGCAAGACCGGACACCCATTTTCGGGGGGGCTCCGAAACAGGGGAACCTTAAAATATAGAATTGGTGGTGTCCCATTGGTGTCCAGTAACAGCGCCCCGCCGAAGGGTGCCCGCCCTTGAAACAATGACAAGGCCTCT